CTTCCTTCCTTCCTTCCTTCCTTCCTTCCTTCCTTCCTTCCTTCCTCCTCCTCCTCCTCCTCCTCCTCCTCCTCCTCCTCCTCCTCCTCCTCCTCCTCTATATATATATATATATAAAGGTTCTTTTAGATTTAATCATCACAAGCCCCATTCCGTGGAGACCCAACATTGCTGTCACTAGGGGAAGATGGCCAAATTGGAAGGTCCTTTCTGGGCCACAATGGAGCCAGAGCTGTTCGCCTGTCTCAGAAGGGGAGTGGCAAATTCATCCTGCTCATTAACTTTGGATGATTCGCCTTTCGGCCAAGGAACACAGATAAGCGCCTGCTTTCTCCCATCTCCCCATCCTACCTGGAAAGGCAGATGAGTTGGCCTTCCTAGCCAGTTGGGGCCTCGTTGGCGGCTCCTTCCAGGTGTAGTCTACCTGACTGACACCAGTCATTACCCTCCCATCCAGGATGGTCACCAGTGTCAGGATTCCGGCAGTTACCCCCCTTTAAATCATGAGTCTCGAGCCAAACTTCCAAAACTTAAAAAGGATTTGTTGGGAGTTAACATGTCCGCCACTGCCTGGGTGCAGCCAACTCGGAGACACATCATTCATTGTCACCCTTGACCCTGGTTTTCCCCCACCTCTCTGGGCGTATCGTAATTCATATTCTCCAATGGGACACATCCATAGCCAAGAGTCAACAATCATACTCTCCAATTAGATATTTGCACAGCAGACACTTCAGTCACCTAGTTACTATCTCTGAAAACATTTATGGAATGCAAGGTGCTGCACTGCCCACCCTGCCTTCTCCCCCTTTCTGTTGGCAACTCTAAAAAGACCAGAGAAATATGTTATGAGTTGATAACCAGGTCCATTCCCAGCAGGTCACTATCCAGAGCCAGCAACCAGCATCTCAGCAGCAGAAAGTCTACACCACCCAGCAGGCCATCAAAGCCCAATTCCTACCAACGCCGATTTCTCAGCCCCAGAAGACAGGCGGGGCACAGCAGGTCCAGACCCAAATACAGGTAAGGAGGCGCCCCAGTTTCCTTTCATTCCTTTGTGGGGAGAGAGGGAGGAGGAAACCTTTCGGTTGGGCTCTTCGCTGCTTTCTCCACATTTCCATCCTCCTTCCCAGGTGCGTGCAGGTAGCCTTTTGACTTAAGGACCGCAATTTAGCTCGCCATTGTGGTTGTTAAGTTGTGAGGGTGGCCAAGCAGAGGTCATTGTGTGTGTCTGCCCAATTTTTTGTAGCATTTGTAAAGTGAACATTGACTGAGGTCATTTTCTGAACCCATTATTTGGTACGTTTATTTTTTTTTTAAATGATTTATTTATATACCTGTATTTTCCTTAACATTCATTAATACATTATAAACAGTGTATTGTCTGAATGTATTTGCTTTACAAATTAGTATATTCACGCATCATTACAAAATCTCCAGAACCATAAAGCTTACAAACTTGAAATTTGGCCTGTATGTTCCTCTTGGCTTCTAGGTGCTCGCTAAGAAAGGATTTTTTTTTAAATGGCCATCAGAGCATGAGTATTTCCTATATTATTATTATTATTAACACACTCTGATGCTAAGGAGTTCTACTTCCCCTCCCCACCTGAAAAGAAATCTGTTCCAAATGCAAAACACAAGCAGAGGAGAGGAGGAGTCTCAGTTTCAGAGCGCCAATCAGCTTTAGTACAGAACAGTTGAGCTAAGCCACGCCCAGGCTCCTTGCTGTTTCCTTGCTCACAAAGCAAATACTGTTTCAGTTTCCAAACAGCCCTCATCTCACTGACAGGACGCTAGCCAGATGAATACTGATGGATGCTGGTAGACAGAGGCAGAATTTTTTCCCCCTTATTTTCCTCCCCAAAAACTAAGCCCGACCACATAGTGTCCTAGCCAAGCACAGGTATCGAGCTAGTAATATAATATATTAAACATAAACCATACATAATAGTATTTCTCCAATTTTTAATTTCTACTTCTGTCATCCAACCATTGATAGAATAAATCCCATGCTTGGAAGTATTCTGTACCTTCTTTATCTTTTATCCTCAGTGTCAGCCTATCCATTTCAGCACAATCAAGCATGTTTTTAATTACATAGAATTGCAATTTTTAAAAAAAGCCACTTTAAAAACAAAACAAAACTGGAAACCAGAATCCAATACTGATTACAAAAAAAAAATTGAGGTCACGTGATTGCAAACAGCTGTAAAGACAGGCCAGTTGTACCTGGCTGTGTTTGGGGAGAGAGTGGCCGTCGGAACTTCAGCTCTGGATTGTAAGTCCCCTTTTTCGGGGTCCACTGTAACTTTGAACGGTCACGAAACAACAAGTTGTAAGTCGAGGATTACCTGTTAAGAACCCACAGGCCATTTTATGTGTGCACATAAAACTCATGGAAGGTCTCTGGTCCTTGACTGTAATAAACATTGGCTTGGCTTGGCTTGAGTTGACGGAAGACCAATCAACCTGCTGCATGTTGTTGAATGGCGCACCCACCAACCTATCTGTCCTAATATCTTGTTCTTAAAGGTTGCCAAGATCCCACAGGTGGTCTCCCAACAAGCAGCGGTGGCTAACATCCAGCAGGTGGTTTCGGTTTCCCAACAGGTAAGGTTTCCTAGAACCCGTTGCCTCTTCTAGGTGTGCCCAGGAAGGAAGGAAGGAAGGAAGGAAGGAAGGAAGGAACAATAGCAATACACTTAAGACTTATCTACCGCTTCACAGTGCTATACAGCCCTCTCTAAGCGGTTTACAGAGCCAGCCTCTTGCCCTCAACAAACTGGCATCTCATTTTACTGACCTCCGAAGGATAGAAGGCTGAGTGTTCAACCTTGAGCTGGTCAGAATTGAACCCCTTGCTATGGGTAGAGTTAACCTGCAATACTGCATTTCAACCACTGGGAGGGAAGGAAGGAAGCAAGGGCAATAGTACTTAGACTTATATATTACTCCATAGTGCTTTCACAGCCCTCCCTAAGCAGTTTACAGAGTCGGCCCATTTCCCCCGACAATCTGGGTCCTCATTTTACCCACCTCAGAAGGATGGAAGGCTGAGTCGACCTTGAGCCTGGTGGGATTCCATCTGCCAAATTGCAGGCAGCCGGCAGTTAGCAGAAGTAGCCTGCAGAACTGCACTCTAACCACAGTGCACCGTGCATGGAGGGATGGATGAAAGGAAGGAAGAGAGGAAGAAAGCAAGAGCCCTTAGACTTATATACAGCTTTATAGTGCTTTACAGCCCTCTTTAAGTGGTTTATAGAGTCAGCCTCTTGCCCCCAACAACCTGGCTCCTCATTTGACCCACCTCGGAAGGACGAAAGGCTGAGTCAGCCTATCAGGTCTGCTGCTTAAGGAGGGGTTGGACTAGAAGACCCCAAGGTCCTTTCCAACTCTGTCATTCATGTATAAAAGCCAAGCATGATTCCTCCAGGACGCACAACTTCACGCCACACCGGCATTCCTGCAGCCGACCCCCCCCCCCCCCCAAAGTATCTATTGAGCTTAGCTCGCAGGGAAAAGGAACCTCCACCTGTACCCACCTGCCTCACTTCTCACTCCTCTTTGCTCTCCCCCCTCCTCCACCAGGTTCAAGCTCAGCCCCAAACGGTCACCTTGTCCCAGACCACCGCGGGGCAACACCAAGTCCAGGTCATTCCAGCCACCACCGCCACAGCTCAGGTCGTCCCCCAGAAACTGATCCAACAGCAAGTGGTGACCACCGCCTCCCCCCAGATCCAAGCCTCGGTCGTGCCGAACCCTGGCCAGGCGCCCGCCCCGCCCGACGGGCAGAGCCAGCCAACGAAAGTGCAGATGAGAGCGCCCGTCCGGCTAAAGGCTCCAAACAAGCCCAGCTGAGTAGTCTGCCATTTGTTGGCAGCAAGACAAGGAGAGACAGAGAGAGAGACAGAGAGGGCTCTCTGGGTGGTCTCCAGTCCGGCGAGATCGGAAGTTAGGCTTCTCTCTCCGACGAAACTTCCCCTCGCCTGCGTCAGAAAGGGACGTTCCTACCCTTACTCTCCTCCAGACTCCTCTGCTTCGCGGAGAGATCCGTGGCTTTTGAAGCCGAAGCCCAAGGAAATGCCGTTCTGCCTAAGGTCCTCCTTTAGGCCCGACCGCTCGCCGACGCTCGCTGGCCTTTTGGTGGAAACACCGCCGCCACCACCACCACCCCCTCCACACAATCGCTTCTCCTGTATGGTAGCAACGCCGGTCGTTTTATCGTCGCCCCTGTCCGGAAGGGGGAAATCTTGAGAGCTTTGTGGGGTGCAAAGCCGGACACTTGTGCTTCTCCGAGGGGTGGGGGGGGGGGGCGGGGGGGGGGGGGGAGGACGGAAAGGTTTAGCCCAAAGCACTCCCTGTTCCGTTGAAGCCGAGAAATGTGAAGATTTGTAAGTATCTGTAATTATACACCGTATTTCAGTTGCCGTTTTTGGGGGCGGGGGGTTGTTTGAGCCTTTTTTAAACAAACAAACATTAACTTGTGGCACGTTGGTTTGTGGGGGGTGGGCAGGCGTTTTGCTGTTTTGCTTAATCGGTCTTTGTGTTTGTTGCGTGTGTGTGCGTGCGCTTTTTTTTTTTTCCGTTTTGTACAGAGAAAACTCTTCGTTTTAAGCTTCCCTTTTTTCGCGGTTTCAGATATTAAGTGCTTAGACACGTGTTTGGTTGGTTGGGCTTCTTCTTTTTTTAAGGTATTAATATTATGTGACAGTAACTGTTTCATCATCACCACCCACCGTTCTCGGCCCCCTTTTTCATGAGTGGGGGGCGGGGGAAAAAAAACCCCAACTATATGTTTCTTCGCTTGTCCAATGTTTTGTTCTTGGGTTGTTGGTTCTTTGGTGGGGCTTCCAGGCTGAAGGAAATTTAACTTACGGGTTTCCAGCGTTGGTTTTGGCCCTTTCGTTTTTGCGGTCTTGTTTTTAAAAGTTTATATTTACGTTTCACAGGGATAGAAGAGAGAGAGAGAGAGACGTTCAGGCAAATTATAATTTTTTTCTTTATTTGTTAAAAGAGAATATCCACACCACAATTTTAGACAGAGGTATTTTTCAGACCTTCAGTTGTTAGAAACAGTCCTTCTTCTTCTTCTTCTTCTTCTTCTTCTTCCTCTTCTTCTTCTTCTTCTTCTTCTTCTTCTTCTTCTTCTTCTTCTTC